ATCGCCCTTGGGTTGGAGGCCATCGCCCTTGGGTTGGAGGCCATCGCCCTTGGGTTGGAGGCCATCGCTTGGCCATGAACTCTCCGTATGGAAATTGAGAAAGCTCTTAGCTCCGTTGGCCCACCGCCGCCTCGGTCGGCTGGCGGCGCTCCCGTCGCTCGGCCCAAGGGTCCGAAAGGCGACATTGTCCGAACTGATGGAGTCCAGGACCTGGTGGGTCGGAGACTCGGAGAGGGAGTAACACCACTCTTTGAGAGCAACTAAGGGGTTTGTGAACATATATGAACATTTTTCAGCAATTTGAAAATGTCTTAACACATCTGCATCCACATGAAAAGGGACGTCTATGACCTGTCCGGGACGTCTACGATTGCTATAATGAACTTGAAAGTTGCAGCGACTTGCAGTCCTTCCCTATGGCACTAAGACCACATGAGCCAGCACCATTGTCCAGCAGGAACTGCGCCAGCGCAGGATGCACGGCCAGACTTCCCCGAACCCCACGTCGCTGGAAGAGCTCCTCATCAGACCTGAGGACCGTAGTAGGGAACACCCATTTATGGCATTCGCCGGTAGAGGCAACCGACAGGCCATTTGTGACGCTACGTCGAGTCTAAACACCGTGCCGTTGTGGGGGAACACTGTGTGTCCGCTCGGCATCCGCTAATCCAGGCCACTTGCATTCCTCGAGGCACGTGAGGATTCGGTCGGGACTTGGAGAATCGACACCATTGAGTTGGCACGGCAGCACGAAGTATGTGCCCTCATTGCTGGATTTCTGCATTTCCTGGTGGTTAGCCGGCCACGGAAAATGACACCAGCATTATGTGCCATCTTCCTCTCACCTAGACCTGTCCACTAAAGTAAGGTTCCTCAACTTGTGGCCATCCGGGCGCGCAGAAAGAAAGAAAGAAAGAAAGAAAGACTGACAGGGCTCGCCAAATCTCGGAAAACACTAACGATCTAGATGACATGTAAGCATTGGGGGGCGGTAAACATTCCATGAATATTTGCAGGATTCCGGACTCCGTGCATTAACAGAAACCTGAGGAGGGAGGAGACGAACACCAGCCCTCGTAGACACTGAGTCTTTCAACGTATTTTTGCTAGGGGGGACCCGGCTAAATCTCAGAAGGTAGAAGCCCTTCTTTCTTCCCCAAAACTTCGACAAAGCGATTCGTAAGAGCACAAACACATAGCCTTGTCGTTGGGTCCGTTAGTTGGTGCGTTTCGGCCCACCCTTTCTTGGACCGCTTAGATGGCGTTCTACCCGTTCACTGCTGCTAGTACGAAACATGCCTGCTTGTCTCTACAGCGGGGCAGTACAGAAAACGGTCCTTTGTTCATACCACACACTGTCTTCGTCGTTGAGGCCTTTAAAGCGGTGACACGCCTGCTTGCAAGGTTGCCGTCTTCGCAGCTGACTGCTGGGGAACAACACACAACTAGACAGGCTGCTGTCCACTTGAATGGTATCCTGGCCACTTTGTGATGCTAATGATGCACCATTACACCTTTTTGGCATCACTCGCATCAGCCTAGCCCATGGGCTGGCTTTCGTGGTAGCTATGTGTATGTGTGATATTTGTATATCTGTGGGTGACAGATGACGCGATCTTTTTGGCCTCGCCTTCATGACCTCGGACTTTTCGATCTTGATTTGACGTAGGTCCGCGCTGAAGCTCCAGGGAATGGCTTCGGTGCTGATTTCTCGGCAAATGAACTTCCCCACCTCCTCACCACGCTCACCACCATCCAACACCAGACCAGTCCCCGAGCTGCGGTCCAAGACCTTGAAGCTGTAGCGGCCCTCTTTGGGACTGCCACCTCAAACGTTACACAGAGACGTAAGACACAGGATCATTCTGTAAGTCTGTGGCACCCCTCATGGGACAACAATGAGTAAGTTGTCGAGTCGTTTCATTTTTCTCATATTTGTTCACCATTCTGGCGCATGATGGCGCATAGATTCAAACCTAAGGGGCTCTATGGTGCACTTCTCTTCGCCGCTTCCCTGCCTATAGCACCAAGGATCCATTGACCAGACTTTTGATGTACCATGTCCAGGTCTTGTGGTTGGCTCCACCATCCTCTCCAAGGCCATGGAATTCCGCAAACCTCCGACAAATTGGCAGCATGACCGTTTGACACGTTCGTGTCCAATCTTCTGAAAAAAATGACAAGAGGACAATCAGTCAAGCCGCCCCTCGCTCTCTGGGCATCCTGCGGCAATTTCAACATCTCATGAGCCCAAAAGGTCAAGCGGAAAGCCAACAAAGTGCACCCAGAATATCAGACCTTCCCTCAAATCGCCAAGCTACTCTTTGGTCAATCAAGCCGAAGGCCAACCAAGGCTACCCAAATGATCACTTGCAGTTTTCTCTGGGCACTGGATCTGTGCAACGTCTCAGGAATCCTTGAAAAGACTCTAACCGGGTCTGTCGAGATTGCACACTGACAAATGAGTCATATGGAGCCTTCGCTACGAACACATTTTGAATTTCTGAGCACCATCTGGCCATTTAACCCGACAGATCAAAGCACCTTTGACAAGCTGTCCGCAGCAACTCTTTTGCATGTTGTTCCTTTGTTTCGACAACTTAAGATTCAAAGCCATTCAGCCTGAAAGCATCCATTCTTTAGATCTGTGAGCGGAAAGACTCACTTCGTGAGCTCCATGCCCGGGACCAGGATGCCGAGAATTGAATTTTTTCTTCGAAAATGCTGTTAAATACCACGTGGTAACGAGGACCCGAGGATGATGAACCTTTGAGGTCATCAACCCGACCTCCACAAACACACTGAAGACAAGTATCTTCACTGCTCCCACACTTCGCCAGAGCATTCTTCACCTGTGAGAGGCCACCATACAATGGCACGAGCGAAACCGTCATATTCTTCAGAACAGAAGCCCAAAGTATAATTCAGCCCGTTCCCAAGCAGAATGATAAATAACATGGTGTGGAATTGGGCCACCATGACCTCAGAAGCTGAATGGCTGCTATTTGGGCTCAACTTCAAGCACCGAACATTGCACATACACAACATATAAGAGGGAAAATTTGAAGCGGAAAATCTCCTAAGACGTCTTATGTGAACCATGATGGCAACAGTGCTAGCTGCTAGCTGCTAGCTGCCTGCTTGGCACGGTATGTAACCCGATGTGTTGGTCACTCCTCTCGTGTCGACGAAAACCAGAAACGCCTTTCCGCGATCTGAGAGGCTGCTGCAAAATGTGCCCAAAATGGGAGGATACCAAAGGCGCTTGTCCCGTAGAAAAATGCGAAATTCTCGCGCAGCTTCCAGCATTGCTCTTTCATTGAGGCGTCTGTCAGTGTTTGTTGATCCGATATCCTAGGCGCGATCAACCCATGATCACCTCGCAAATACAGCTAGCGACCCCCAGCAACACAAACAACTTGGCAAAACAGAAAGCAAGTCAAAGCAACTTACAGTAGAATAACGAAGCATGGAAAGAAAACTAGAGTTCGTTGAGAGGACCAATACCCAAATGAACGGACTAGTTTACCACTTGCTGTATGCAAAACCAGTGGCATCGAAGCACCAAAGGGTCATGAACCATCATAAAACCATTGTCCGTTGTGGTGCATCCCACGGCCCAATCGTGACAATCAAACTTTCTTGCAGGCAAAGGATCGGCCGAGCAGGTATGACTGGAAAGGGGTGCCGTTGCTGTGCTGGCTGAGTTTCAAGTTTGCCCATGCCATGACTTCCACTTCCGATTCAGTGATCTGACGTCGCGTGGGATGAACCCTTGGAACGCAAGCAAGTCCAAGAGATGCTGCGTGTATTGCCGGCCAGTTTCCACTCGTTTCGGTGGGTCATCACGAGCTATCATTCCTACAGCAGCTCAAAGAGTTTGTTTGAGGGTCTTATGTAGGTTGGAGGCCATCGCTAGTAGGTTGGAGACCATCGCTGTTAGGATGGAGGCTATTGTTATCAGTAGTGCCCTTGCTAGTAGTTTCCTTTTGCTATTAGGTTGGAGGCCATCGCTATTAGGTTGATTCAGGCTGATTCCACCAGATTGCCACCCAAGTTTGCCCGCGCTGTCTGGAAACTTCAACACCCCAGAGCCAAGCAGCCTATAATCCAACCACTCAAGGATGTAACTCACGACATTCTCAACCACTTCCTTGCCCGTCGGGCATTCACCGTTGTCCGTCCGTTAAACCACAAAAAAATGCTTTCCTTTTGACTGTGCTGAATCACCAATCGAATGAATACAAGGAGAGTCTTTCGTACACCATCTCGCCCTCTACCTGTGGCTCCTTCGCTGCGTCTTACGCACTCGATTGAAGCCGTGAGAGCCCCGAAGCAAAAACTCTTTGAAGCCGTGCATGGACAAAGGCGGAGTGGAGGTGGCGAAACGAGACAAGGAGCTGAATGTCGAGTCTGAGCGTTTGAATCTGAGCCACCTTGGGTGGCCTTGAAGGCGTGCTATTGATGAAAGACGGGCCGAGAAGCGAAGAAGAATGTAAAACGAGCTCGGACATGAAGAGGCACACAGCAAGCTTGAGTGCTCGACATGTTGAAAGGCGGACGCTAAACAATGAACGGAGCCAGTCAATTCTCGAGAAAGTTCTGCATGCCAGACGCAGTGAGCAAATGACCAGCTGCTTAGCAGTTGGGCGGTGCCTATTTGGCTAGCACAGAACATCCTTCCCGCAATTTGAGGCAGATTTGCTTGTCAATCAGCCCACACATGTCAGCGGAAAAGGCCGTGTGCAAGGTTTATGCCCCGGAAATTTTGCGTTGAATCTTATTAGTGCTGGCATCTACATTGGATTCAACATGGAAAGCAAGTCGGAAACATGTACGTGAGTTCAATGAACTCTGCTCAAGCCGTCAGTAATCCGCAAAGTTTCGGCGAGGAAAATTGCCAAGATGGCATAAGCGGCCGTCTCTTCTCCCACCAGCAGCATTGGATTCCGCGACAAAACTCGTGCAAGCACAATGGCAAGAACTACGAAGAACCTCAGTGCAACAAGCATGAAAGGTTTGAAGAGCATGCCGCATGCTTCTTTTTCAAGGAATATGTATTTTGCTTGCTTCGTCTTTCTGCGAAGCCTGGGAAGGCCCATGCTATACTTCACCTCTTGGAGGAGCAAGCTGCAACGTGTCGGAGTTCTCCTGCGAGAGAGAAGTCTGGCACTGAGAACTCATAGTGCTACATAGTGCTACTCACTGCACCACCAGGTTGGAGGTCATTGCTTTAGATCTTGAACTCCACTCCCCGCCATTCATGATCCTGGAGTGCAAGAGCCGACAGCTCTTGGGTTCCACCCACACCCATGGCCTGCCACACGTGACGATCGCCAAAGCACGATCAAGCATCCCCACCCGGACCAGGATGTTCCTTAGATCCAATCCAAGCTCGGATTTACATCTGTTACATGCACGGATTTGGTCCTCTGTCTTCCAAGTTGTGTTTATTTACTATTTCTTCTTTTGACCTTTCTTTCTCTTTTCCCCAGGTAGCGACCTATTGGGGTTCTCACTGTGCTTGTGTGCGCTTTGGAGCTTGGACGCTGGTGCCGCTGCAGCATCCCGCTGCTGCCAGCAAATATGTTTGCTGTCTAGGGGGTCTCTCCCTCCCTCCCTCCCTCCCTCCCTCCCTCCCTCTCTCTCTCTCTCTCTCTCTCTCTCTCTCTGGCGTCATTTCTTTAGACCTTGAGACCTTTTTCTGTATTTTTTTAACCTTTAGGCCTTTCTTTGTGCTTCTTTCTTAGATGGGCGCCAATCACTGTGCCAAGGCTCCACGCCAACGTACTCAGCACAGGCACCAAGAAGTCCAGATTTGACCGTGCCGAATGCAACATGTCCGACAAAATCAGGGTCATGCGAGCACCTCAGGAGTGGAACACAATTCTGGAGGGAAAGTGAGCATCGGAAGAAAGCAAAGCACAAGTTCTGCCATGATGCCCTCCGCCATGGCATGAACTAGTGCGATTTGCACAGAAACCAGGACTCCCTGGTTGGTGTGCTGATAGGCCCTTCTCACCCATCTCTCCTGTCACAAAGTTCCAAGGTTTAGGGGCAGAGTTGAGGCAGCCCAAGTCAAACTCAAAGGGTTTCAGCAAAACTCAAGTGTTCAATCGCTTTTGTTGAGCTCAACCAGTCCTCGATGAATTCCCGTGTGAAAGTTCGCTGCAGAAGGAGAAGGCATCCCATCTCGTAGAGGCTAAGCATTGCTGGCATCAGTGCCCCTGAGCAGTCCAGTCTTCAAGTTCCCATTCTTTATTTGGAGGCCATTGCTTTGTTGGAGGCCATCGCTCTTAGGTTGGAGGACACCGCCTTTAGGTTGGAGGCGACGCTTTTAGGTTGGAGGCCATTGCTTTTAGGTTGGAGGCCATTGCTTTTAGGTTGGAGGCCGCCCCTTTGAGCTTGGAGGCCGTCGCTTTAAGGTTGGAGGCCATCGCTTTTGGGTTGGAGGCCATCGCTCTGAGGTTGGAGGCCATGGCCCTTAGGTTGGAGGACATTCCTTTTAGGTTTCAGGCCATCATCATTGCTTTTTAAAAGGCCGGAGGCCATTCCATTTAAGTTAGAGGCCATCGATTTTAGGTTGGAGAAGGATGGAGAAGGCATTCCTTTTAGGTTGGAGGCCATCGCTCTTAGGTTGGAGGTCATCGCTCTTAGGTTGGAGGTCATCGCTCTTAGGTTGGAGGCCATCGCTGTCAGGTTGGAGGCCATCGCTGCTGGGTTGGAGGCCACCACTGTCAGGTTGGAGGCCATCGCTGCCGAGTTGGAGGCCATCACTGTCAGGTTGGAGGCCACCGCTGTCAGGTTGGAGGCCATTCTCCATTCCTTTCAACTTGGAGGCCATCTCAGTGCTTCATGACGGGTGATCTGTCACGCATCTTCACGCCTAGCCAAAATCCCACAATGAAGCGCTTGACCACGCTGTACGACGCGGTCACTATGAAGAACCCCACCTGGGCCGCGCCAAGTAGAACCAAGTGGGATCTGCTTCATACATTAACACAAGGCTCCGTTTTTGGGCTACCTGGCGGTTTTCTCAGCCAAGCTGCCAAAGCGACACCCGAAGTGGCAGGTCCCATTTTTTGGGAATAGCGTTTATTCAAAGGATCTGGCAGGACCGCTGGTGCGACGATTTCCCCTCCAGCTATCACTACAATGTGCCCGACGCCGTACACAAAAACGAAACCAAGATGTTCATGTTCTTCACCAATGTACCTGAAGAGGGCATTGGGAGGGCTAAAAAACTCGAAAATGCTGGTTTGTTGGTCTGTAGCACGTGCATCTTAGGCATGACAAAATAGAATATGCCCATTTGCGACAGTGAATTGCAGGAATAACATGTGCATTCAACCATGTGAACTGGTACCGACAGCGTAGCGAAAGCCGAGACACACAAAAATAAAGGCGGCGTAGATCAGCAAGCAGAGAAATGATATCATCAGTGTGCCCGCAACTGCGCGGACTGCACTGTAGCCCTCCAGATTGGCTGCTTCAGCAATGAAATGAGGCCCAAGGCCAGTCCTGGTTCAGTGCTGCACCCAAACCCTGACAGCGTTTAGGCAAACAATACTCTCGGAGATGCTAGGAACTGCGGCAACTTCTGAATTCTGTCCTGAGGCAAACCAGTGCGGAATTGTCTGGAATCGAACCATGCACATTGAAGCCACGCAGGTTCCCTACCGCTACCAAATGAACAGGTAGAAAATACACCGCCACCCAGCCAAGGAAGCGAAAGAGCAGCACAAACCAGCGCTCTTTTGCAACTCCTCCCGAGAATGATGCACGGAAATCATCCAGCAAGGCATCAACACGAATCACGTGCCTGGGATGCCAGCCTCGGAGATGCGCCACGCAAACAAACCTGGCTTTGCAACGACTCAAGAACAAATGCACACGTAAAAACCCGCATGTTTTGCTTACCTGCACTGCTCTGGTATTCAATGGATCCCCGGCATCTCTTGATCGCAAGCCACCTTGTTGTGGTAATGGTGGTGCACACGTTTTTCCTACTTGCAATGAAGTGTTCTGACCCCTCCCCCCATTCCTCAAAAAAGGAAAAGCAGCTGGGCTGGGCCTGCCAAAAGGAAAAGACCTCCAATAGCAGAGGCCTTGATGGTGTCGTAAAAAGTCGGCAGGCATAGCTGTACTGCAGGATCGCTTGGATGGATTGCCTGGCCAAGTGGTTGACCATGCTGACTTGCAAGTCGACAGTGTTTTGCCAACACAACAAAGCTGTTAGAACTTGTCTCAATTTTTTTGGCGCCCTCACGCCCATGCCTCTGTAGTATCTATCGACGCTGGTTTTCCCGGAGGGGCGGGCGCTGCCAAGTGGGAGGGTTTCGGCGGCCCACCTGGCACCGCCCCTGCCGCCGCCATGGCTCATTGCTGCCCCACGCATGCATGAGCCCTTGCTCCGAAGGTCAGCAAAAATGTCGCAACAAAAATGACACAATGGATCGGAATGACGACATATGACGACAGAAATCCGACTTAAACCTTTTGTGTGCCTTGGGCGCTGTAGCAAAACATAGTGCTTGGTGCCTGAGGCCCAACATAGTGTTTGGTGCCCGAGGCCTTCCATTGGGTGGTGGTTGGCCTGCTCGTTGATGGAGCTGGTCACTGCCCACGGGCGGAGTGTGCCGCGCCACGGCACTTGGTGTCAAATACCCGTGATTTGTGCAATCCGATGTGGCAAACATTGCGAGCAAAAAACATGTCAACGCTGAGCAGAAGAAGTCAACGATGAGCACAAAAACACACACAAAGGCGCATGCCTTCCAATGAGGGGATAACAAAGTGAAGAGGGACAAGCAATGAACCATACCTCTTAACAGCACACCTGGGGCACTTGAGCCTGGTTTGTTGCAAAAGCACGCGCACAAATCAGAAAAAAAAAAAAGTGAGGATGACAGGGCATGGAAACAAAAAGGGCCAAAGAAAAACAAAGGTTCAAACAGGATCAAACAGGAGGAGAGGGATCCCCAGCTATGACGGACGCACCAGGGAAGAGAGGGAGAGAGGGACAGAGGGACAGAGGGAGAGAGGCGAGAGGGAGAGAGGGAGAGAGAGACAGAGACAGAGACAGAGACAGAGACAGAAACAGAGACAGAGAGACAGAGACACAGAGACACAGAGACACAGAGACACAGAGACACAGAGA